GTGTGGATGGGCGTCCTTCGCGATGTTCATCTTTCGTAGATGATCTGCCCAGTTTAATCTCCTTGGCCCAGCGTGCAACAGTGGAACTGCGTGTTCGCGAACTGCAAATGTCTTCGAATTATTTTTTTTAATTCACTGACCATACGAAACACAGCAGCATTAAGCTGCTATTTTACGCTGGTATTCTGTGAGAGCGTATTCCTTCAACGGTTGAGCCGACCCATTCGTGCTACAACTATACCAATAATATAGCTGCAGCATGGCTCTACCACGTAAAGAAAGGTAAATTAGCACTTAACATTTTCAACGGTGCCGGCGGGGATCGAACCCGGGTTGCTCGCGTACTGTGAAATGAAAAGTTATGTGAAACGGGAATATAAAATACCTAAGTACCTGTAATTAAAACGCGATAAAATCTGTAAATACTAGTTTCATTCAATGTGTAGTATTTGCGTAAACATAAAAAATTTTAAACATGCAACCAAGCAATTGGTGAACTTCAATGATTTTTAAGAAAGCATTTGCTTTCTAATCATAACCGTTGCAGTCTATTAAAGTCCACTGCTGAACATAGACCTCCGTTATAGATTGTTTCATAGGGGGATATTTGCCATAGTTGCCACGCTTGGAAAGAGGGTTGGCAACCGCAGTTTTTTATTTTTAGTAGTTATTATGAAGATGCTGCTGCCCATCTTCTCATTTGTTTCTGCTTGTTTCTAGGTGATTATCAGGGTGAAAAATATTATCATCATTATCATAATATTTTTCATTATTATAATAATATGTTTTACCCTTAAATAAGATATTAGGTGCTTTAAAAAAACATCAACTTACAATAGACTAGCTGTTCCCCGCATCCTCGCCCGCGTGTAATTTAGCGGTTTTTTGCGCAGAATCCTAACTCTTTTTCTTATATAAAAGTAGCCTAAGTTACTCCTTATAACATCAGCTGACCTCTGATCATCTACCAGTGAAAGACCTGTCAAAATCAGTCCAGCCATTTCGGAGATTAGCCGGAACAAACAAACATACAGACAGAGAAACAGACAATAACTTAATAAATTGTGTTTTTGTTGTATGTACCTTATATAATTTCTGCATTTAGTAAAAAGCTGTTATTTTGACATTACAAACAGACACTTCAATTGTATTTATTTTTATAGATGTATAGATACATGCAGATATATTTACACAATATAAAAAAGCCTAACGTTAATCAAACTATAAAGTGAATCCAATCATGTTTCAGACAAGAGTCACACAGTGTGTTCTCCAGACCGAATTACGGTCACGGCGGCCGGTCTTAACGGAGACTAGCCATCTACACAGGACAGAATTATAGTGCCCGAGTGTATGCGCCAGCAGAGATGAACTCTCTAATTTCCCACACTCATATTCCGATAGTACATTAATTAGACACACCCGAAGAGCGAGACAGGACCACTGACTTTACGTGCTTTCCCAGGTACAGGGGTGAAACACTGCCAACTTACCGACTCTCGGCTGCTACTGAGAACTTCTTGTCTGGGACAACTGAAACTAAACCTAACTAAACCTAACTGAACCGGGATTCAGCTTAGGAGCGTTACGGCTATTAGACTAAATTTCCAGTCACCTGTGCTTCTGATGCCAGAAATCATTTCTACAAGATGGTCTATTAGCATGATTAAAGTAAATGGTGGCACTACTAAATTCTTAGTTGTTCTCTTAGACAGATTGTTTCCTTTCAATATAATGTTTCACTGTTGATGATGATGCAGATATGTTATTACATATCGATAGTCACTCGATAGAGTAACTCATATTTAAGTGATCCATACTTTTCTCATGTACCCACAAATATGGTCACTAGGGCATAGTGTGATCTAAACAAGAAAAATGTTACCAAAACAATGCCCAGTATGAAGTGCAATCGCTGTCAAAACACACAGCATGTAATGGTCTCACTAACAACCAGGTATCAGTACTATACACAACAACTTAGAATGGGTGTGCCAGGACTGCCACAATCAATCACCAAAACAATGTTCAATCATAGTCCCAGAAGACAATAATGATGAACCTTAAGCAGCTTTGTCTGCTGGTAATGTCTAAATTGACATTAAAAATCATAAAATGAAACGGATTTTATCGCGTTTAATTTTAACTTTTTAATTCCCGACTTTTCTTTTTTTTTTTATAGGATAAGTGTGACAAATGAGCACACAGACCACCTGATGGTAAGTGGTTGCTGTGGCCCATAGACATCTACATCTATCTTTGATTAAGAATCAAAATGCAGATGCGTTGTCACCCGTGAGGACTAAGATGGAATGCCTTCTTTCCAGTAAAAAGGGTCTCCGGTTCTCTACATTCACCATACGAAACACAGCAGCATTAAGCTGCTATTTTACACTGGTATTCTGAGAGTGTGGTCCTTCCCCGATCAAGCCTACCTGTTTATACTACAACTATACAATTAATATAGCTGCAGCATGAATCTACTATGTAAAAACCTGTCTGTATGTAACTTAAGCACCAAGTGCAGTTCAGATAAACCTAGTTACATTTTTGTGACTTGTTTAAATAAATCTAAACTGTTTGTATTTGTTTGTTTAATAATAATAATAATTTAAAATTAAAAATTTTGTACAGCCGATTTCAATACAAGTTATTTAAGAATAACTCAAAAACTATGGGTCTGACCTTGATCAAATTCATATGGGACCACACGAGAAGTATCAGCTTTCATATAAAAAAAGAATCATCTAAATCGGTTCATCCAGTACAAAGTTATGAGGTAACACACATAAAAAAAAAACATACAGTTGAATTGAGTACCGTCTCTTTTTTGGAAGTCGACAGAAAATACCCCTGAGGACTAAGATGGAATGTCTCATTTAAAGTAAAAAGGGTGAGACCCTATTTTTTTTTTTTGAATACTTTAAGCTTGACACTCATTAATATTTAACTTATATCACACTACCGTCTACTATAAAAGCGCAGGGACATTTTGGTTTGAAAGTGATAATAAACTAGCATACACTAGTAAAACCTTATTTTATGTTGCTTTTAGTATTACACCCGGAACTTTTAAGCAACCTCTTTGGTCATTTAAAATTTATTTGGTATTAAATTAAACAATATCAACGTGAGGTGAGCGCAAGTTGGTCATCACCAATATGTTAATAACCAGACCTAGCACAGCAGTGTACATATTACAACACACATCCTTGTGCTATCATATTATCACTTATCAGTACAACTTATCAATGTACGTTGATAAAAATGTAAAGGTGTTGTAACATAGATTAATAATAATGTAATTTTAAATATTTCATATCTTTGTGTTGAAAATAGTTTTTTTTACTTTTACTTTTTTTTTTAAAACATTACCCCCACACTGAGATTTTCTCCTATATCGTGGAGGCAGTTTACAAACATAAATTGCACAAGGACAAACATCCAGACCCGGAACAATTATTTGTAGGCCATACAAATACTTGTTCCGTGTGGGATTTCGAACCCGCGGCCCCCAGCACTGCAACTCATTGCTAAGCCACTGCGCCACGGAGCCACTGCACCGCTATATAATAATATATATTGCATTAATATCATATTCTTATTATTATTTTATGTTGTAATATATAATTAAATTAATACAACATATGTTATTATGTATAGTATACTCATATTGTGTTCATAACAATACATAACAAATTTAGTATTTTTAAAATATGTTCTTAAAACAACTTGTTTAACATATTTAGTGATCAGTACAACTTTTATATAGTATTTATGAAAACCCTATTTTTTTATGTTGACAATGTAAAAAAATAGGAAAAAGGGAAAAATTTATTAAAAAACTCAGATTAAAAACAGCCTTCTATTTGCATAGGTTGGTGTATTTATTTCGTTTATCATATTAATTTATTTAAACAACAAAGTTAATACAAGTAATAGTAGAATTACTAAAGTAATATAACAATGCAACTCAGCAGATGTGTTAGCCACTAATCAAGTGCCCCAATTGAGTCACACCTTGCACTTTATATTAACACAAGTTATCACATTACAAGTGTGTACTGTTTGAACTGGTCCTACACAAACATAAAAGTATATTAGTTGCATAATCAATTGGCTTCAAGCAATTATAACATAAAAAACTGCATTTTACTAATTATACTTTAAAAAATATCTTAGTGAACAAGAATTATTAATGAATTAGGCCAAAATTGGCAGATTCTGTCACAGTAAACAAATGAGAACCATACCAAATAGTTTGTGTGGTGAAGGTGGGCAATGATAAACAGAACTAATGAAGTGTGGGTGTTAGTTATGGAGTGTGGTGAATGACACATGATTCACCCATATAGGTAAAATAACTTATATAAATTTACCAAATACAACAGCAGTGGGTTTTAAGATTAAATTGATATTTATAATAAATGTAGAACAATTGTCACTGTTAGTTGGCATATTTTATATTTTATTTTATATTATGTAAAAAATATAAAATTATAGTGATGTATAAATAAAATTATAATATAATTTTTCATATATAGGTTGTTACAAATACTTGGTGATAAAGGTGCTTGCAACAGTTTCTAGTAGGTAAGCATTTAGTTTGAATGTAGCAAGGTTAAATAATGTCAGAGTCACCAAGGCCACATACATTTACACCTCTAGACATGTCCCACTTGCTTTGTTATCAGCACTATATGTGGCCCTCTATAGACAGAAAAATAACTGCCTGCACAGAATTCGTCAGATATAAATAGACAAAGTATTTGTTAATGTAGGATAACACCTACAAACTAAAACTTACGGTCAAATTAATTTAAAAATATTAACGAGATAATAGAGATAACATATTGTTTGATTATACCTACCATTATCTATAAATTCGGGGCGTGGATTCCAATTATCAATTATTGTATAATTTCCCACAAATACAATTTTAAAATATAAATTAAATGGACAAAAAGCAAACCAAAAAATAAGAAGTATTTAGAACTTACGTTTTGCAGCTTGCACGACATCCTTCACTTCTTTAATAAGACGTTTGATCTGCTGGCTGGTGCGCTCGAGCTCTTTCTCGTGACGCTGCAGGTTCTCACGAAAATGCGGGCTGTCCGCCAGACACTCGGTAAACTCCAGCGGCTGCAGCCCCACACCCATCCTCACCTGCTCGCTCTTACTTGATCACAATCACAAAACACCAAGCACTTTCACCGACCGCCCCGCGACGGTCCCACCTCCATGCACTTCTAACTAATACGGACGGAATATTTTATTAACAGGACGAACTTAAGACTTATGTTTATCACAACACTATTTGTAAACTGATAAAAAAATTAACGCCAATATTTTCGCCTCGGGTAATAACAGCAATCGACAATCGTAAATGTCACTGCATTACATACTACATAGGTATAGCTACTCCCACTCATGGGTTGCTAGTGATGAGTCAACTCGAGTTAGTTACTCGAGTTGCGTTTAACTCGAGTTGGATCTCCCTAACTCGAGTTTGGGCTGCTGTACATGAACGAATCAAGTGAGCCATCAAAGGAGTGTTTCAAAGAGTGTTTAGCTAGAACAAAAACAAATTGTTATTTAAAATATTATAATATGTACTTAATTTAATTTCTTTGATAATTATAATTAATTAGGATCAATATAAGTCACAGACCTATTATTGTAATACCCGAAAAGGGTGGTTAAATTATAAGACACGACATATTTCAAATTAAATCCCAATGTAACACTTAACTTATGATATATAAATATTTTAAATTTGAATTTTTTTTAAATTTATTTGAGAATATTTTGACTGTGATAATTAAACAATTAATAGCTTATGTACCTACATGTTAAAGCTACACTAATGTTATTTCGTGAAGACTGCTATGTAGCTAGTTTTGTTGTTAAAGTTGTTGTTGTTTACCTGCAGTACTTACTATAACAAAGATTGAAATAAAAAATACATATGTATGGTACATACTAAATATACCTTTTTATTTGAATTCTACACATTAAGTTTGGTAATTATGGATATCCCAACCTTCCAAAGAGTCGAAAGAGAGAAATAGAAAAAGAAATTTAAAAAAAAAGTTGTTTGTAACAAATCATTTACTCTGTTTTGTACTGCTAATTCGAGTTTAAGCTCGAGTTGCGTGATTTTATACACGAGTTAACTCGAGTCGTATTTTTTGTATGTTGCCACTTGACAAAAATTAAATTTGCTAAACAGTAAACGTAGTGACTATATTCTCTTTGCTAAACAGTTTAATAAAGTCGTCAGAATTAATCAATTTCGTCTAGGCAAAAAGACGACAGTAACACGAAATAATATGTCAATAACTTTTTATTTCTCTATTTATTAAAAACATATAAAATGCAATCTTAACTGGAAAATATCAATCAAATTTACCGATTTTTAAGTTTTAATTTGTACCGCGTGGTAGAAGAGTAAGAATATCATAAGCCCCATATCATGCCATTAGTGTCATTGTCATTAAATCTGACAGATATTTATTCTGTACTCTAAAGAGAATATAGTCACAACGGGTTTTGGCGGGAAATTGACCGGCGGCGGCGGTTTGCTGCTCCTGTATTATTGTTTAAATAATGGTTTGAAGTGGACTTTGATATGTAAAAGTGTTGCGATTTTGTGTATTAAGTGTCTACGCATGTGAACTATTAGTGGAAACAGTGAAACAAGTGCTCTGATGGTGATGGATTCTCAAGATAAGCTGTTTGTTTGCATAGGCACCTTTAGATACCATCGCCAACTATCAGCTGTCTGCTGGATCAAGTTGCCGCCAAAATCTCCCAAGAACTGCACAATGTGACGCATCAACATATTGTGAAGCAGTATACTATGAAGGAGTGGGGAAATTACAATAAACCGAATAAAAATACTTAAGACTTGGCCTAAAGGTCTAGATACCAGGCCATAAACTCCAAAAAAAAATAGTCACAACGTTTACTGTGTAGTTTTGGCGGGAACTTGACCGGCGGCGGTTTGCTGCTCCTGTATTATAGTTTAAATAATAGTTTGAAGTAGATTTTGATATGTAAAAGTGGTGCGATTTTATGTATTAACTGTCTATTAGTGGAAACTATTAGTGGAAACGGTGAAACAAATGCTCTGATGGTGATGGATTCTCAAGATAAGCTGTTTGTCTGCATAGGCGCCTTTAGATACCATCGCCAACTGTCAGCTGTCTGCTGGCTCAAGTTGCCGTCAAAATCTCCCAAGGGCTGCACAATGTGACGCATCAACATATTGTGAAGCAGTGAACTATGAAGAAATTATAATAAACCAAATAAAAATACTCAAGACTTGGCCTAAACGTCAAGATACCAGGCCATAAACTCCAAAAAAAAAACGTTTACTGTGCTCCAACAATTTTCATAGTGAAAATCTAGTATATATATACAGTAATCTATGGTGAAAATTAAAGACTAAAAGATTTTTATAATAAAGTGCGCGCATGATAACTCTGCGCGAAGCCAAAATTGGAACCATGAAGTTATAGATAAAGATGGAGACCACACTCCGAATACCTACTTGAAGCTCAACCTATGTATTACTATCTCGCTCTCTGTGGGCAGACCCTCTCTTTCTAAGTAGGTAACCTTTATTTTATTTTTCCCAGGATATTGCTATAAGTAGTTGCATTACATTAAGTGGTTTATTTATAAATATTTACATCTCTGTTTACTACTAAGACCTAGCCTATATAGATTATAATTATATATATATATATATGTACAATTTTTTTGGGAAATTGGTTTTATGAAGAAAAGTTTTCATTTCCATGGGCAGAACCGGTATCTAAAATATGACCACGCATTTCCGTTACAACCCATATAATGCCGAGCCTATTTAGAAAATGTGGAAAATAAATATATCACAAAATATTTTATTACTACCATTTCGATAATGTATTTTCTGGATATTGTATACAATACCTAAACGGTACCAACGAAATATAAAATTAAAATTTATTATAACACCCCGGGTGATCAATGAATTGGGCAAAATATACCTGATTTATTGTTCAGACAGACTAAATCTATTTCGGGACAATTATTTTAGAAAAATATCACGAGGACTAAAGGAGCGTAGCGGAGCTCCTGCCTTAGCCTTCTGACCTAACCCATCCGAGTCAGGTTGCTCTGAGCTGAAATGTGTATAATACTATATTCCACACATCCTGTTCATTTTACGAATTATCTACAATTCCTAGGAATTCTATATAATAACGGATTTCATAGATTTCTAGTAACATATGTACTATAATAGGAACGATAATATGTAAAAAAAACCTTAAAAAAATAAATAAAAATACTTTCCATATTAAAATTATTTATTGAAATTTTACACATCATGTGGATAACTCTGAATAAATATTCTCAATTTCTGACTGACCCGTATACTTTTTAATAGTTGCCATTAAAGAAGACCTATCCTGAATTTTTTTAGTTTGGCGCGCCAATTTTGCTTTAGAATCTTAGTTTTCGTCTCAAGTATTTCTTCTTTAGTACACTTTATTTTCACTAGCACGTCGTCGTATTCACTGCTGACCTAAAAAACAAGAAAACTTTATGAAATCAGTATTTTTAGCATCGTACATAGTATTGCTCCGCTCATTATGGTCGTAGCGTGATGTTAGATAGCCTTCCTGAGGAATTGGTTATAAAAATGAAAAAAAATATTTTCAAATCTGACTGGTATGGTTCGAGATATTAGAGAATTAAACAAAAAAAGAAACAAATAAATCTTTTACGTCATAATGTCAGTACCAATTTACATAACTTAATAGGTAACACATAATACACCGGATCGCGACTTCGTAAGCACGCATAAATGAAGCATCAAACAAGAAGCTTCACACTTAGTGTCGTAGTGACGGTTACCACACTGCGACTGGCACTAAAGAGTTTAAATATGTATGTTTTTTAAGCTATATAATACATTATGTAATGTAATAATAAAGTCATAATAAATACAAATAAAAGGTATGTATTTAGTAATAAAGGAAACTTACAGGTAAGTTGTTCAGATTGCATAAATTTTCAAGAATTTTTCGACATTGTTTTTATTAGTTTGGTCTTCAATATTACAGCCAGTACATTTCACTCCTGTTTCCTTAAGTGCAGAACTACTTTCATTAATTCCAGAACTAGTGCTTGCTACAGCCAGAGAAGCTATTTGCAGAATAGACTCTTCATGTCATGCACTTGTTGTCTGCAAATGATAACATATTTTACAAAATGTTGCTTTATGTATATCATACATTTAAACTACTATATTTCTAAATACATAATATATTACGAAAAACAGATAATTAAATTATATTAAATTTTTACCTTGCCTGGTGATACTGTTTCTTGATTTCTTATAACAGTAGGAATGCTGTTGGTTTTAAGCGCCTTGTTCATAATTTGATTCTTGAAAATGCAAATTGCAAATCCTTGCACTTTCATAATACTTCATTTTCAATGGTACAATGGATAACAACAAATTTCTCCGAGTACTGTTTTAGGAAATTTAAAAAAAAATATTCGTAATTATTGTAAACGTTATTAAAGTATCAGCATAATGAGAAACAAAAACTAAGTAAAAATAAATTGTCTGCCAAAAGAATATATTGTGTTACTAATTTTTAATTTAATATTATGAAATCTATGAAATCCGTCATTATATAGAATACATAGGAATTGTACATAATTCCTAAATTTCATGCATTTCCGGTAACATAATAAGAAACATGTAAATATAATTAGTTAAGGTCACACGGAAAGTCTCAGATACATCGTCAATATGATCACACTACTTCAGTGCGATTTCTTTTAAACAAAAACAATAAAATTATTCAAAGTCAATTAAATTCAATGTAAAACTATTTGATTTTGACAAAGTTATAATTTACTAATATGTTTAAAACACTGATAAAACGTTTCAGCAAAAAATTTAGTGAAAATACAAAGAAGTATTTTTACAAGTATTCAATGCCAGAAGTCACTATTTAAACACGTTTGAAATCTTATATTCACTTCCTGGACACCAACTACTGCCGCAACTACGTACTACACTAGTTTGCACCATTTCTTGAATTATAACAATAATTATCTTTAAATATCTCAAACGACGCTGTGAACTGCTAAGT